TGCTTTTTGGGGCATGCTTTTCAGTCCTACTGCTACAGGTTTTTTCCACTTTCTTCTTCCAAAAATAATTCATGCACAGTGGTCTTAGAAACAAGAAACTGATGTTTTGATGAGCAGCATCACAGGCCATTAACTCGCCCTGGTCAGGCCATGTGTGTTTGATAATAGGCACTGCCTTTGAGTCTCATAAACCTGCTCTGACAACAGATTAAGTCACGTCAAGAGAGGTTTCACTAGACAAAGGGAAGATAGCATTACTCTATGCAAACTTGTGGCTTACAGTCCTTCATGTGCAATGTGCACTGCAGTTGTCATTGGTAGAAACTGTATATTATGGAGCAGGGTGAATAGCAAAGCCATTGGCTTGGCAGTTGCAGTGGAAAGCCTGTCTACAGGCAGTCATGTCATTCCATGCTGAATGAGAGGGCATCAAACTTCGTGCTGGCGAATGACCCTTATTTCAATTTGTGCCACTCTGTCTTCTGAAATAAGGGTCCTCTTTTATAAACCAACATTGCCATGTCAGGTAGATTATTTTTTATTCTTGACTCACCTACACCTTTCCTGGTGCTCCCCAAAGTCTAAGTAGTAATCATCTACTCACTGGGACAACTGTTTCTTGACCCGTGGTATTGCAACCTTTTTTGCCTTTACAGATACAACTTTGATTCCTTCCATGTGCTGGCTTTTCTGCTTGTCCAACAGCTCTGGCATTAACCCTGCTTCATCTTCTTCGGTATGCCTCCTCCTCTGCCCCACAAAAAAACACAAATGTTTGGTTCAAAGACCCAGTATGACAGCATTTTTTACCTCTTAACCTATTTTGCCTTTAGAATTCGAAGTAGTTTTCCACCTCAGGTGATTCAGTGGCAAAGGAAAATCTCCCTATGAAAACTAACAAGCCTTTACCCATTTAAATGACATGAAATTGGCTGCTGCTCCAGTGCCTGCAAAATACTTTGTACTGTCTAGGCAGGCCAAGTCCAGAGTTTGCTACATATTGCAATAAGCATAATCACTGTTTTTGGGGGGTTCTTGCACACCCTCGTGCACCTCAGTATGTACTAGAAAATTTCCAGTGTTCAGCAAAGGGACAGGGTTCCTCTGGAACAGTGACATCTGGACCCTGAGGGGCACTTTCAGGTGCTATACTAGTGCCAATAGTGCTGATCAATTACATCTTAAGTCAACAGTATCTGTCAATGAAACTGTGGTGCAGAAACAGACTATCAAATATAGCAGTGGTATTTCTACCACTGCTATCATGTGATGACTACATAATTTATTAGACAATCAGTTGAATATGCTGACTTGTGATCAAAATTTATTTCATACAAATTAAGTAGACGGTTTTGGCACATTTATTAATTAATGGTTGAAACTAATGATAAAAGCTCTTTCCATTCCAAGTCTGGAAGTACTGAGGTTGAATGGTATTAAAAACACAAGAATAATGAAGATGCCCAAAAGCACATATGTCTAGGTGGAACGCATAGTTTAGCACAAAGAGAAATAAATTTACATATTGTGACATACAGGCACCAGTAGTTCTCAAGTAGGATATCTGTAGCATTACAACAAGGTATGGTGGCATTTTGCCATTTTTATTATATCTAGTTACATGATGTAAATTAATGGATGTCTTTAAGCAGGGGAGAGAAGGGAAATGGTAAACTATTACTTCTATAGAGCAAGCTCTAGCTCTAGGACAGGGTTCTTAGTTTGAATCAGTGTCTGTTTGAGGTTTCTTGTTTTTTACAATAGGTCAATTTTCCTAGTCTTGTCCTCTCAAACGAGGAACCATGTCACAACTAGTTAATAAATGTGCCTGTGTGTCAAGGTCATTTTTCAGAGTGAAAAAGGAAATGAAGTCAGCGAGTTAACAACAGCAGTGAATTCATCTCAAGGCAGCAGTAGGGAAATATTTCCAGAAGTGGAACCTTGTCTGTGATGATTTTGCTCTGGTTAAATCTACCAGAAGAATAGTTTGCTCTGCGGTTTGGCTCTGAAGACAGAATGTCTCTTAGGACAGCCACTCCCCTCTTCTTCTAGCTGGTGTGTCACCTTTTTCTGGTGAACCCCTGGAAGGACATTTTAAGCCATGATACCTGTCTGAATTGCAGTCAGCTGCTTTGCCTACAAGTGAGGAGAGCATTGTTGGAGATGGCCATTGTTGGTGGCTTTCACTGCCTCCTGGGGACAGGGCAGGGAGCAGGAAGCCTGTCTCCCCCATGGGCAGCTTCTGGAAGGACTAGGGGCCTAACATTGCCATTACAGATTCTAATGGGGGAGGGAGTCTCAAACTGGACACCAGCTTGCACAACTGCCACAGCTGAAATATGCTGACTATATTTTAGGTCTACAAAATGTGTTCTGTGAGTCTTCTGGCACTTGCTATCTAGAGGCTAAATTTGATGTGATTCTTAGGAAAAACATGCCTAACTGAAGGGTATGCACAGCAGAAATGTTAGAACATGTCCAGCATGCTTATACCACGCTTGATTGTGTTAGTTTTAGTTTTCCTACTGAGCTTTTCCTATTAGCTCCAAAGCCTTTATTGTAAGAAGCATCGTAAGTATCAAGGCATGTGTACTGGTGTGAATACTATTGCCTGGAATACCAGGCCAGTTCCAGGAAAGAAATCTGCTTGGGACAACCATCCAGATTTCCTTACACACCATGCTCAGGGATAATCTTTGGCTTCTAATGGAGTGATCATCATGATCTGGTTCCACCAGAGGACTGAGACTCTTTGTTGCAATTTAAGTGAGGTATGAAAGTTAAAAGGAACATTGGTCTGTTCTGGATGTGTGTACAGAGTAAAGCAGAAAGTCTTACTGATCTATCTGCTTGTGCTTACTCCTGACCAGTGGCAGACACTGCACTGAAAGAATAAAAGCTGCATCAAATCATGGTTTATTTTAATTTGTGATACATGAGCTTAATTTGATGTATGTTGCAAACTGTAAGTGATAAGCAGCTATTAATGTGTTCATGTTACACAGGACAAACCACTGCAGCTGTAAATAGTATTTCAGGCTGTTCTAGAACAGTGTTTCAGAAATGTGTAAGGCGGAAAAAAGATTTTCAGTTTGCTCAAACAAACCATTTCTGAAAGAGAATGTGATGCTAACATCTGTACTACTTCTGAGTTAATAATATTGCTTAAAATTCTAATAATGCAAATAAATTAAATATTAAGTTCAAAAAGATGAAAATGTTGGAGGACAGGATTTGTATTTGTAATGCAGCACAGTGGTAAAATTCAAATCCTACTGCACACATTTTGTTGGCAATGTAATGCTTTTAATAATCAGGAATGTTTTTACATAATATAGAGTGAGTATTTTCTAAGCCCTCACATTACCACAAAATCTATTTGATAATCTTTAACACTTCAGTACAGAGATTTTGGTTTTCATCTGTGTTATGAATATTCTTTTCGAATGACTGACTGTAGTTCTAACATGGCAGGCAAAATTGTGAGAAATAAAAATGGTTTACTATCTGATAGTTAAAAGACACTTTCAGATATGGACACACACAACTGAATTTATGAATTCAGAAATAAGATTTTTAATAAGTACTCATAAACACTAATTGATCAGAACATTTTTAAGTTATCAAAAAAAACCCCTGATTAAATTATCATATTATATACAATAATCATACCTGATTATTTCATTCATAAAATCTGATGTAGAGTGGATTACTAATTATATTTATTTTTCCCAATTTTCCTGTCCTTTTCATCCTGCATGATACACTTATGGTGATTGCTGTATGCAAATTCCTAGCACAGCTGCACTGAAGGTGATTCAGAGTTGTTTCACTGACCTCAGTGATAACTTCATCAGGATCTCACCCTCTCAGATCATCTCTTCATCACACTGAAGGACTGAGCAGCCATTTTCCATAATGGTGATCATATAGAACTGATGTGATGCTTCTCATGTATCTATGCTGGTGCTGACCCTGCCCTATATTCATATTTATTTGCATTTATGCTGCATATACATATATAAATTCACGGAAGCTGCTTTTGTGATATTTTACCAACCACTACACAAGTTTCAGGCACAATTTTGCAAAAAACTATCTGTTCCTTAACAGATGAAAAATTACAATTGTCTCAGAATCATTTGAGCTGGAAAAGACCATCAAGTTGGCAAAGATCATCCAATCCAACCAATACAATTATCTCAGAATCATTTGAGTTGGAAAAGACCATAAAGTTGGCAAAGATCATCCAATCCAACCATAATTGACAATTCCTTTTTCATTAAATATTCAATGTGACCATTTAGAAATTCCTTTCATTTTAGGGGATTTTAAGTTCTGGAAGTTAGTGTTATATTGCATAATTCCTTACTAAATACCAGACTGGAATAGATGTTGGAAAGGTTCTCTTTGTGGTCGGTACCATGCATGCAACTAAGGATGTATGGTGTCCTCTCACAGCAATAAAGTCTAAGGAACACTAATAAACCAGTTAAATTACTGCATGTAGTATAGAATTAACCTTGTACAGTGAAACTGGTCCTTCAGAGAAGACATTTACACAAACAAAAACAATGTCATTGGCTTTGCATTCACTATAGTGGTTACAACTGATGCACATTTTTTCATAGTAGCAAGTTGTGAGTTGTTTGGTGGGAGATGAGGACTTGCTGAGTTCTGTAAATTGTGGTATTCAGGTTAGCTTTATACATACACTTGGCCTTTACTATCATCATGTCATTCTCCTAAGAGTATGATGTAGCCGTATCCAAAGTCTCCAACTGATGCAGTATTGAAATATCAACAGAGTCTGTACTGTGTGAAATGCTCAAACGTGCAATCATATAAATGTGGCTTGCTTCAAAATAATATCAGTATCCAATTAGATTACATGCAATGATGCAAATGGTGCTGATAGTCTTGCGTGTTTTCCCTGTGCTTCTCTGTCACCCTTTATTGCTGTATCTTCTGAATTCTCCCTTCATTTTCTTTCAACAAAGGCAAGTATGCCATGAGGGATCTGGTCCACCGACTGCCAGGCGCTAACAACAGCAACAGCTCAGCAAGCAAGGCCATGTCTGATGACACCGTTACTGCCATTTGCTGCACTCTGCATGAAGTCATCACTAAAAACATGGAGAATGCCAAGGCCTTACGAGACGCAGGCGGCATTGAGAAACTGGTTGGCATATCTAAGAGTAAAGGAGACAAGTATGTTTTGTGAATCACCTTGCACCTTTTTAACCTCTCCAGTAGTTATTACTAGTCCTGAATGTGTTTGCCTTCTCTGTGCAATTGGAGTTGAATACTTGGATACTTAGTTTCATCAGAAATGATATGCCCTGTGTGAAAGGTGACAAGAAACAGACAATACCAGCACCAAAAGTCTCTCTGCTGTGGTTTATTTTTGATGTGCCATCAGCAGTGCAGGGAGTGCACTCCATGTGCATTTTAAGGAAGAGTAATTGCCTACAGTAATGACCTCTAAGCAATTCCAGAAGATCCCGATAAACATTAGGGACCAGAGCTGTTGGATTGCATCCTGCAGGAGGGGTGACGTGCAGGTAGAGGGATCCTGTGAAAGGAAGGGACCTCACCACAGTTCTGTTACTGCTGCTCTTGCTCTAGGAGTGAAGAATGTAAAGTCAATGTCCCTCTTCACAGCACCCTTTTGCCTGCCACCAGCTTGCCTGCCAATAAGGTGGGGCATAGTAGAAACACAGATCCATGGATTTTCCTCACAGCTTGCTTCTGAGAGAGCATTAGGCTGCTTTGTGAGTCACCAGAACGTGCAAAAGTCTTGCACACAGCTGTGACATTTTCAGAACAGCTATGGTTTCAACTTGTCTGTTTGCCTGTGTACACACTCTTCATGAAGAGTTCACTCTTTATCCTTCTTTTGCCTAAAACAGATAGCCTGGTTCTCATATTTGTCAGCCTGCTGAAGTATAGTGCAATGGGACTATGGCAGTTTGAAAATAAAAAGCCTTCACTGTAGTGTACAAAACCCATCAGTCCACCTGCTCGAAGCTGTCATCACACAGCCTACTGCAGCATCAGAGCTCTAAAAGAGCCCCACAAAGCCAGGCCACAACCTGAAGGAAAGATTTATGCACTCTACATTTGGTATGAGAACTTATGCTCTCCTATGTGATCAGAGCATTGCCAATATAATTTAATCACATTCCTTTTTCTCTATTATCACCCTTTTCCTTTCATACCAAATTCATTATTGAAACATTCTTACATTCTAGTTGTATGGGGTAAAAAGCAGTAGCATGACCAAGTATGTGATTCCAGTTGTGGGAGCTCCCTATGCTCTGCCAATTTATTTGCATTTGCATTTTTGTTATTATAAATCTATTTAAAAATTTTATTTAGATTTTTCTAGATCAAATGTACTGATATTACAAGCAGGGTCATATCCACTTCTCTTAAGCTGAATGTATGTTTCCTCAGAATAATGCATTTGTCTACCTATTCATTATCTGGTAGAGATTATTAATATCTCTGGAGCCAGGAATTTTCAAAGTATCATGGGCAGTTTTAGGAGGATCCAAGGGTATAATTCCCTGTCTAAATATCCCTCATAACTGTGAAAGGTGTCTATTTCTAATGAATGTATTTAGCCCAGGTAATGTTGAGCAATTCCAAAATGCCCTTCCAAATCATGATATGTATCCCTCCTCTCAAGTACTCTGAGTTGCAGTCCTGTGTTACTATTGTTACAGGTTACACAGTTCTAGAACAAGAAAACATGTCAATGCACAGTGCTACAAATGCCCATCTTAAATAAAAGTTCCATTTTTCACTTTCAGAAATGTTAGTATTATGAGCTATTGGTTTGGTTTGGTTTTTTACAGGTAATTCATTGTTTAAAAATCAAAATTTCTGGCTGTTGGACTGTTAAGAAATTCTGGCATGCTCACTTTAATACAGTAAAACACTTCAGTATGAATTCATCTTGTCCAGTATTAAGCATCTGCTTCTACAATTGCAGGATACCAGACTGGCCATGCATTCTGGTATGTATCAGTGCCAGGAGTGTGGGGCCGGCGCTACTAGCCTTTGGAACACTCCCAGGGCTTAAATGCTTTCCCTGTATGACTGCACGAGAGAACTGGTGTTCATGAGGTTATATTGGCCAAGCCCTTATTGGCTTTGCGTAGTTCCTGTCTCTCCTTAGTACTGACAGGGTGATTGGCACAGTTATTTTCCTGGTCACTCCATGCTACCAGCACCCCACTAGCCAGTACAGCTGGAGGTATAATAAAAACAATTATGCTTGAAAGGGTTGATCAAAATCCTGCTTATTCACCAATTACCCACCTACTGCTGTACTCTGGGTGTGAAATGGAATAAAAGTGCAAAGAAAAGCACCAAATAAATTGCTAGGGAAATACTGTAGAAGTGAATTGAATCAGTTGTGTCATGAACATAGCTTCACCAGCTTGACTGTCAGCCTACCAGTGATCCTTCTCAGGAGTCACTGGATACACTAAAGCATGGCCTCTGAGAAAATTTCCCCTCCAGAGCAGTAATTTAAGCTGATGGTTTTCTGATTTCTCTTTGGTTTTGCAATCCATGTGCTTCTTCGGAGCAAAAGATGAATCACCTCAGTGACTGCCCTGAACTCCGTCAATCCTCATTCCAGACTTAAGCATTTGCAAGGTTTTCTATCCAGCAGAGTGTATGCTTCCTCAATGGGCTGGGTTATCTTCCTGGTCCTTTTCTGTTGACCCTTCTTCACTGAGATGAATGCTCTCTGATATTTTAACTTGGTTTAGACTTCTTTTTTTATTTACCTATTCCAAGAGGAATATATGACTCCAAGTGATTGTAATAATAATTTAGATCTTCTTTCAAAACCTTTCTGAAGAGAAAGGCCTTGTTAGGTTTTATGGTTTTCAACATGACATTGTATTGCCATCATTAAAGAGTAATGGTGTGAACCATATCCAAGTCCTCATTTGGATTCCTGATGAAAATTGTCATGACTTTTTATAATCAGTTGTATTTCTGCATCTTGTCTCTGCACTTAAAAAAACAGTACTTATCACCTATCCAGAGTGTTTCTTTTGGCCACTGCTAAGAGAAGCTTAATGAGTTGAGCACACTGTCAAGAGCTGAATTTTGGCAGCTTATAGAGAAAGAAACTCTGGCTCTGACTCCTTGTCCTTTATGCTGAAAGTTGTAGCCAGGCCATCTTCTTAGATGTACATAATGCCAGTTGGGTCCTTAACAATTTTGCCAATTGTTACCTCCCGTTCCTCTTACTATGCCCTCAGCATGAATCCATGTGTGCGCTGAGGAGCACACATTTTGCTCCTCACTGAATAATTAGTACTGTAGAGCTAATATATATTGCCCTTGCTTAAAAACACATGGGTGTCCAAGATGCCAACCAAAGATCTTACTGTATATTTGAAACACACTTTAATTGTGGGTTTAAATCCATAGCAATGAGTTTGAAAATTGGGATGGATGGTGTCTTGTACTTAACAGTCTCTTTCTCACTCTTTCTTTCTCTCTCTCTCCCTTTTTAATATATGTGTGTAACAGGCATTCGCCTAAAGTGGTGAAAGCAGCATCTCAGGTCCTCAATAGTATGTGGCAGTACAGAGACCTGAGAAGTCTCTACAAGAAGGTAAGGCTTGGGTTTTTTTCTAGATTTATTATCTTTCATACTGTTGCCCAAATTTGGGGACTGAGAGACTTTAGACCAAACCATTTATATATGTGACTGGAAATTCACGTGGAGTTTGAAGTTTCAGATACTTGGAGCTATGAGTTTTTCTTTCGTTTCCATTTTTAACATAGAAATACCTTTTGAAATATGTGCGGTGGTGAAAAGGGAATGTGAATTCGATTTTTCAAGAAAATTCGTCAAGAAGTGCTGGATCTGACAGCCCTGGAGAGTGAAACCTTTTGTTCATGGAGCAAACACATGCAAGCTCTCCTGCTGGGCCAGTCCTTATACCTCACCACCCTGTCCTGAGGAGATTACCAGATTTCCAGCCCTTCAGCTCCCAAATTTCCTCATGAGATTGTAAACAAGAGTATCTGAAGGAGTGGTGTTTAGCAACTAGTTCATGTGGAGCTGGGCTGAAACCTGATAGCTTCACTTCCAGTCATCTGGCAGATGTTAGTGCCATATACTGGGTTTTCAAACAGTCTATGGAGTCCATAGTACCATTCCATTCCCACAGGCCGGCTAACCTCCTAAAAATGAATTGCAATACAGTAATACAATCCTAGGAAACAGCATCCTATATAGCTTTTTAAACACAAGTGTCTACTTAGTAAATTACAACATTTAAAGTAATTCTTCCTGAATATTTCCAAACTGAGTTGCATTCCATGTGAGTATTAGCCTACAGATTTAGTTCTCCAATGTCTTCTTGCTATGTAGAATTTCACATCTTATCTAATTGATATTTATATTTGTAATCTCATCAAAGAGAACTAGGACTTCATGTGGCAGAAAAGTTCAGGTCCTAGTTAAGGCTGAGGCATAAGAATGGTGATGCAGGGAATGTTCACAGTGGCGTAGTCTGTGTTGTATGTATTTTGCACAAGAAAATAACTTAGTTACATGAAATGTATGCACTGAATCTCAAACTGACAGAAGCTGACCTTCTGTTTGAAATACTGTTCATTTGCATGCCTCAGCCCTGCTTGGTCAAGTCTGAGAAGTGAGGAAGATGATTATTGAGTCTCTCCCATTGTTCACTTCCAGTATTTTCAGTCATCCTTGGCAGCCCTAGGGATACCATATGTGAAGACATTCCAACTAACAAACTGGTACTCGACTGTCCCATTAAGAGGTGGGAACATGAGCTAGAGTAGGCTTTTCTTGACACAAGGCAGTAACACACTGGAAGTGTGCGTAGTCTGACTTCTGTGCATGTGGGTGGCTGCACTGTAGAGGCTGAACTGTATTGCAGCATAATCTCTTAGAGGTTCTTACAATGTCTGGCTCATTTCCAACCTTCTGTCTGTGTATATATATATATACTGTGATGGAAAAGCAGTTTCTGGGGTTTCTCCATGCATGAGGTAATTTATATGCTGTATGGCTTCTGAGTATACTGCTACCTAAAGGACATTCTGTTGGCTGCCAGTGTGAATGCCTGGTAATGTACTTACATACTAAGCATGCTTAGGTACTGAGTACCTTGCGTGCTTAAAAGAACATTTTCCATGGCCACAAATACATACCTGTGGTATGGAAAATAGAGCAGGCTAGCCATAGAGGTAGCTTCCAGGATACTTATAGCAGACAGATTGTCTATATTCTCAAGAAGCATTTTATTAATCTCTATGTTGGCTAATTCCTACAGGGTTCACAAAATCATAAAATGAAGGTCAATCTCTGCCACATATTTGTATAGTCATTATATGCCATTGCATATGCTGTTAAGCCTTGTGTAAATATAATTTCTTTTAATCAAAATGCTCAGGTAGTTAACTTAAAATACTCCTATTTGTTAAAATATGTACACAAATCATTAAGAAGTCGTAACATTTATTAAATTTGCCTGTAGTAGGCTGACTTTTATGCTGGCTGGCTGAGTTTCACCACAGTTTGGAAAGCAATGGCAATGTTTTTATGATAGGAAAATTAGAAAAATTTGCATTATACTAATAGTCAGCTAGTTATGTAATGTAAAGATACTGGGTCAATGCAATCTTTATTTTGTCCCATTTAAATATATATATGCCAGTAAGAATGAGTGAATATACAGTGTAATACAATCAGCACTTTGCAGTATCTTGCACTTGCACAGCCTTTTTTGAAGTGCAGGTAAGCTGGGGATTGGTGTGGTTGCCTAATGACTTGCCACACCTGTGAAGGACCAAAAGCTGAGAAGTGCACCGGCACCAGTTTCCCACTTGCAACTCTCCCCAATAAACTCCTGGCTGTGGAGTGAAGTGCAGAAGTCAGAAGCTGGTCCCTCTGCTGCCAGTCACAGGGCTGTCCTAAGCAGGGTATGTGCAGTGCTTCTGCCAGCTCCAAACCCATCATGGGTGAGCAAGATCTTCAGTCTTAACCAAGGCTGTAACAGTAATACAGCTATGTACTGAAACCTAAATGAAGCAGCCTCTAAGGACACTGTCACAATCAACTGTTACATACGAAATACCCCACATTTAACAGATTTCAGGGTTCCAACTTCAGCTATGTTGTTTAAGAAGATTAATCATGAACACAAATTTCATTCTGTGACTCAGTGTCTGACATTGCCTATTTCTCTGGGCCATTCAGAGGTAAAAACTGTAGCAGCAACTGCAATGATTCGGTTAACATCATTGACCAAGTCAAGCAACATGCCCTGCCTCAAGATTGCAGCATATCTGGCTGAGAATATGAACAGTATCTTTTGACAACACAAAATTTTAAGGTCCTATCCATGGTTTATATCCTGAAAAATTCAAAATTATTCCACAAGTCAGTGAGATGGGAGACACAGAAAATTAAATCTAGTAAGCCAGGTTAAGCTAGAGATATGGGTCTTGAAAAAGAGTTTCAGGCCTTCAAGTACCTAAAGGGAGTGTACAAGAAAGATGGAGAAAGACTGCTTCAAGAGCAGGTAGTGACAGGACAAGAGGGAATGGCTTCAAACTCAACAACTGGGTTCAGGTCAGGTATTAGGAAAAAATACTGTGAGGCTGATGAGGTGCTGGAATAGGTTGCCTAGAGATGTTGTGGATGCCCCATCCTTGGGAATGTGCAAGACCAGGTTGGATGGGGCTGTGAGCACCCTGGTCTGGTGAAAGGTATCCCTGCCAATGGCTGGAGGGTGGGAGCTAAGTGATCTTTACGATCCCTTCTAACCCAAACCAGCTTGTGATTCTGTGATCCAATAGATCATAGATTCTCCAAGATCTTATAGAAGATGAGGATTGGAGGTTTGTATGTTATTTTCCCTCAGTTTGCTGGAGCAGAAACATTGTGCCCATCTATTTAGTAGCTAATACAAGAGGACTTGCACTCTTTGAACACTGGTCTCCCTTCTCAAATAGGCTTTCATTCTCTGAAACGCATGCTCAGGTGGAGACTGTAGCTTTTCAGGCTCAGGAGACTGATAAATAGATTTCTGACTTCCCACAGCCTGAACTGCAAGCTGAATGAGGAAGAGGCATTAGCTTTGTTGTCTCAGTTTTTACTTGGAAGGCTCTTTAGGCCTGCAATACCTTATGCACTGTATTTGCAGAACCATGTCACGCCCTATACCCCCCCACGGGCAGGTTTTACCCAGTGTTCTAGGATTTCAAGTTCATAGCTGTGTTGTGGCTTAAGTGGGATGCATAGATCCATTAGGCCGGGCTGGCATGGAAGAGACACAGGAGGTAAATAGAGTTAGATCTGTGAGTGAGGTGATGGTTAGTTAGTCCTTTCTAGGCCTGTGCTTTGAGGAAAAAAAGATGATTTCCCGCCCTGATATCGTTAATCTATCCAAATGCAGTCCAAAAAGTCAAAGTAAACTACATAAATGTTTCTGGTCCTAAAATTGTAGGAAAATAAAAGACTTGACAAAGAGGAAGCAATTAATTTAGTCATGACATGAAGGAGTTGCAAGCCATCCCAAAAGTTGCAGGTGCTTCATCACAAGCTAGTTAGTAGGAAACACTGCTTAGTTTCTGAGTAATAGCTGAAACAGAAATCTAATCTGAAAAAAAAGTCCACCAAGAGGAAAACAATGCTCAGGTTCAGTCACATAAAGAAAGGGATTAGATTATGTAGTGATATTAATTTCTAAAAAGATGTAATCATCACAGCTTTTCATCAGTAGATTAAATATTGTCCCTCAAGGACAATGTCATCATTTTCAGACTTCTTTGATTTCTACAAACAAGACATATTTTCATAAATGATCTTTTATCTGCCTGTTTTCGTGAGTCTATTCCAAAATACTTAAAATCTGACTTTCAGAAGTGCTTAATGGTCACATAGTCCATAGCCCCATGGGTGGGTCAATGACTCAACATTTAGAAAAAAACAGGTACAGGAGCTGTCCCACAGCTTGGCCCTGTGCTTCAGATTCCTGGTACACCCATCTTCTTCAAGTATCTTGGTAACCTGTACAGTCAGCAGGAGAAATAAGTGCTGCTTAAAGTCTCCAGAGAGAGGTGCTGTCCCATTTCTGTTTATCCACCTAAGCAAGCTGAAAGGAGGTACTAAAGTGCTTCTTTGAAGACACCTATTTCCAAGTCAGGATCACTTGGCCCCCACTCCAGTCTCTAGGGTATTAGCTGGTTGAAGAATTGGGGACACCTTGGAAAAAACAGATATGACTATAAGGGAGCATTATCTGGTAAACTCTGTCTCAATATTCAAGAAAATAACAACCTACTCTTTAAACACAGATAGCTTGTTAAATTACATGAGGAAATTTGAGCAAAAGGGTTGGGCTAAATGAGCCTAACATGAGAGAACATTTATTAGCTAAAAGGAAGCTTCAATTAGCATTAAATATGTGTAATAAAGAGCTGGAGGAACTGTCAGGAAGAATATGTTTTCTATTAATTGGTTTGCTTTGCCTAACCACTTAGGCTCCAACAAAATATGTTTATATGCTATTATTATGTTTACATTTTACTCTGCCTTCCAGTATAGAAGTAGTGGTCATGATGAATTTGTAG